GTTTTGAAACAGAATGGCCTTTATACCGAGATAGAGGAGGGAGGAAAAAACATTAGGTAACTACATACGCTTTCACGTCAAACGACAATTTTAAGTGGCGGATCTCCCTTCTTCCCAGTGTGTATACATTAATGTAAAAAGCAAGTTCCTGAAATTTTCAATATTTTTGTTATTCGAACTACTAGATATACACAATAAGCTTTCGTAAACGAACTTTCGTGATTTTTAATGCTTTCCAAATCAAAGTGGATGCACTTAAAAGTTGAAAAAGTGATGCCTTAACTCAAAGCGACCGAAATCAGTTGATATCGTTCAGTCTCACAAATCTGCTTTATCATTCAGTGAGGAGAATGGTTAAGGTGTTGTTTTCAAGTGCACTTTTGAGCCGTGTTTCAGCCTCGGCGAACGCCAGCTGCTGTGTCTCTGTCGATCATTGCTTGAAGGAGGAGAAATACTCATTCTAGACGAAGCCACAGCCTCCTTGGATTATGCTACCCAAATGCTAGTGAATGAGGTAGACAAGCGAAGAGCTTTTTTCTAAAATTCTACCTGTACATGGTGTAGGTTGTTCGAGTACATTTTCGAAGCGCGACCGTGATAACAATCGCTCATAAGTTGGAAACTATTGGGAACTGCGACAGGTGTGTGGTACAAAAGATACTGTCAATATCAATCATTATGTGAGAGTGCCCTCAAACCTCTTCTTACAGGGTAATGGTGATCGAAGATGGTATTGTTGTTGAATATGATACTCCAGAAAACCTCTTAGCGAACAAAGACTCAATCTACCGTGAAATGGTAGAGACGAAAAAAACATTCTAATGTTCGAATAAATTTTTTCCAATTCTTGTATGGAATAAATTGCAAAATAAATTCTCAAAATAACTTCAGCCTTGACCTCAAAAAAGCTTCAAAAAACTATCTCAGCGGAAAGTAGATGATATCAAATCTCGCAAAGGAGTGCAGATTCGTGTACACTACAGCCTAGCCTCGACAGCAGATTTCCCGAAGGCAAGTTGGAAGTCGTTTTTTAGGAGAAAAGCGAAAAGGAAATTGTACGGAGACCGAGAATCTAAGAAACCATAGTTTCTTCTTTCGTTTTTGCCTAGAACTCATTTTGCAACTGTCTCCGATCTACCATATAACTGAAATCCAAAAGCCTGCCCCAAGCAACAGTTTACTTACTTACTTATGGAGGAGGCTCGTTTTTCTAAGCAAGTTAATAAACGGCCTCTAAGTTTCGGGTGAAAATGAGAAGCAAGAAGTTTAATTGTCGTATGCAAAAT